TTAAAAGAGTGTTTGCCACAGTGTGGTCGACTTCGCGAACTTCCACCATGGTATTTTGTAGCTCTTGGGTTTTTCGATTCCCGATGATCTGAATGATGTCCGCGTGAGTATAATTAAAGCGGTCTCCTGGTCAGTCCATCTTGTTGTGTGAAAAGATGCGATCCATCATCCGGCAAGACGCAACTCTAAATGTAAAAGGCTTTGCAGTCGCCTTGGGCGCACACTTACATCAAAGCTTAATTCTACCGCGGTGGCTTTAGTGAGCTGCCTCTAGAAATAAATGTCGAGTCGGACGAGGCCATGCTCGCTCTCTTAATCACAGCAACAGGGGATGACATTAAAGATTGCGGGTTCGTGATTGATAAAAAATTCGCGAAAATTTGCATTTGGAGTCTGGAACATGCCACCTCCCTAGTATAACGCACGTACTTGCGAATAGCGCTTAGCTCGACCGCCATCCATGCGAGTCAGTTCAGTAAATGAGCATTGGTAAAATATTGTCAGTACTTTTAAAACTCCTGTTTAATTCGTCTCTACGAACTGCGTGGTAGATAAGCTTTTCATAGTACCCAGATATGACGAAATCGTCCAAGCTGTGGCAGTTGAGTTTTGCTTCAATAATCGCTCAAGTCATGGCATGTAATTGGTCAGAAGTTGGTTTTAGGTTATACTCAGAACTTCACATATTATGGGAAACCAGTTGAATTGCTTGGCGAAATGTCAGGCGCGTCGGGAAGACATGCAAAGGCTGCTTATTCTACAGAAAGGTCACCTATATACACTAATAGACATCAATTCAATTTAAATTATGGGGTGCTTAGGTGCCTACTTCATGCGTAAAAAGACGATGCTCGGGATTACGACAGGGACAGAGAAAATTTGCGTGAGACTAGATGAAGACAGACACACGTGCGTGTTGATTACATAGGACTCGCTGAAATATGTCGCGGGCATTTGACACTTCAATACAATTTAGTTTGATGTGGAATTCGCACGATTCGAGCAAGAGCCCGACGAATATTGAGTTGCGCACAGTAAGTTCGATCCGAGCTCAAGGTATGAATGGGGCAGTGCTGCGCTGTAGTATCAATTTTCAAACGCGATAATTAATAAGCAGGAAATACCGGACTTATTATTAGTTCGCAAAAGGGTGATATATTACTGGATGTGGAAGCGGAGTCTAAGGAGCTTCGCGATACGTGGGTAGGACTTTTAAATTCAATTACTTACTTTCATCAATGTTAATCTTGTTGAAATTGTCAGGTGACATCTTTGCAGCTATGCAAAGATGGTGGCTCAGAGATAGAGATAGAAGAAGAGGTGAAATCTGGATCAAAGTTTCGGAATTTGGTAGAAGATCATGCGAAGAAACAAGTATACTGGGCAAAACGCGCACAAGAGTTGGAAAAACGGAAACAGGAAGCTGAGGAGCGAAAGAAAAAGTTCAGTGGCGTCGGAATGAAGTACACGGCACTTGCTATGAGTAACCGGCCCAATCCGTCGGACAAAACTTAAGGACGGCACCTTAGCCGCATGAACTGCTCCAAGGCCTTGTTAGTATTAATTGCACTGATAGATCTACTTTCATTGTCTTAATAAGAACAAGATTCATAGAGACAAAAGACTGTCGGTTTGTCAATAGGCTTTGCTGCTCTATTTTCAATTATACCCATCTCACCTGAATGCATTTGAATGAGAGCAATGAAGCTGGACATCCTGTCACTGTATCAATTGACTACCACCTGTTACAAGCTCCTTTGATATGGCTAGCTTTACTAATAACATTAGCCATTAATGTTAGTGCTGACGATTCTGTAGCGTTTGGGTCTGCACGCGAAATCGTGTTAGCGGTACATTGCGATACTTTGTTTGATTAATCAGACCAATCAGTGTGAGCCATGGAGGCGACTCCAACGCCAGACGATGCGCAAGCTCTACGGCAGCTAACACTTGCGGACGAACATCTTGTATGTGAATGACGACGCAAAGTAAATTCAAAATAACTGGAGCGTTACTGACTCGCTTTCGGTGTTGATAGCTGATCTGCTTTTGTGGAGTGGATGAGACGCGAGACTGCAACTCTCATATCCTGCGAGAAGCCATGCAAAAGATCATACGTATCAAGATACAAATGGGGGACAATGTAAGTGGCAGCGTATTGCATCAGTGACATAATGAGTGACTGCTAAGATTTTATATCGCAGCATCAAATTAGCCTAGCCAGGGCTCATGAATCGAGACTCGTTGTTGAACAAGAGGTTGATCACATGAACAATTTGCACTTGCTTGTACTGATAATGGGGACATTGAACATGTGCATCATTTTTGTGATAGTTCACGACAGATGCCGATGGTTTGGTGGCGGTAGTGCCTGGTTTTATTGCTTTGTGTGCTCAGGAAGATCTACTGGACCTAGATGTTTTACTGGACGACGTAACTCACTATTTTGGTGCACATCAAGAGATGGTCGAGCTAGTGCACATTGTTGAATTTAGTCTGACAAACACCAACAACTTATTCTCATATTTACAGGAAGGCCAGAGCTTTTCATCATTTCGCCTACTGCTTATCTATCGACAAGTAGAGCAGGTAATTAGTTACTTGCTAACAACTAAGCTTTCGAACTAAAGTCTCTAGTATTCAGAGCCCAAGGCTTCAAACTAGCCAGCGTCAAGTCGTGGTACCATTTATCAACAATCCTTCTTATCATTTGGACGTCATCTATTGGCACCACAATGTACCTTTGGAAATGGCCCAGGTTAAGACAGTCAAACGGTACACGTTATATTCACATGTGCTCACGCTATTTTGTCTAGAATGTGTTCAACCAATTTTTTAGATTTGATAACACAAATCCCTATGCCAAGTTTTACTTTTTAGAGGTGGGGGAATCCCTGGAGAGGTTGCACCAGGTATGCTTTGGTTCATTTATTATTTTACTTAGGTATACACGTTGATAGTCACGGTTACACGTGATCTCCTGATGATTATTGTATGCTAAACGTTGCTTTTGCTAATCAGGCGCTAGTATTGATGTTATCCCACCCGGCACATCGAGCAAGTCAAGACGCTGCTGAACAGCTTCTTAGGTCGTGTTGTCTACCAGGCAAATCCAGCAAAATTAAATAAATGGGCAGGCATGTAATCGGTGATACGAATGATGCCAGTCACCGGGGTACCGATAGGTAAAAAATTCAGAAGCTGAGAGATACTAAGCTATCTCTCGAGCCACCATCCTTTTTTAAGGCATATCTGAAAAGAAATCTGAAATGCCTTCGCTGTCGTCTAGATTGAAACAGAAATCTGGATCGGTCTGAATAGTCATTACAACAAACAACATTCTTTGTGACATAACTGAAATTTCACCGACAACTATGTACTAAAAGGTACTTCAGTACCTTCAAGGGTGCGAGTTTAAAGATCCCGCTGTCCGAGTCGTACGAACTCTGCTGTAGGCAAAAAAAAAGGTTACCACCCGGAGAGATAGACTACTGCCGCACTGAGATATACTCACCTGGTCTAAAGGAGGTACAGGGCTGTCAAGAATATCAAGTGCTCTTGTCTTCTTTGGTGAATCGCTGGTACTGTCATTCTCCTTCTCATCCATTCGTCGAACTAAATACACATCTACAGGTCCATCTGCGCAATTTTCAGCATAGTAAGCATGTCCTAGATCTAGAGAAATGGTAAGTACAGTCAATCTTACCTGTAGACTTTAGAAAGATCTGGAAGCGGCGCTTTCCAGCCGCCATTCCTTCATCTGGGTCTGGCACCTCGAGTGTTGTACCTGGTGGAGCCTTGATTGCCATAACGCTTTGATCGGCAAAACTTTCTTGCCTTCGCATATCATCATGTGTGACATAGCAAAAGTTTTCAAAACTGCCTTTGTCAAACGCTTCTTCTTCGTACAAACGCCGAATATTCTGGCTAACCATCTTGATGTGCTGATCGTACTTATGTTCCTCTTGCCTAAGATCGGAAATATTTTGTCGGAGGTGGTCCAGGCCCTGATAGCTATCAGTGGTACCTGTTGGTCCACTCGCAACCCTGAATAAAATAAAGCATTGTCCATCATACGTAGTATGCAAGAGCAGTGCGGTCAATGCAATGAACACACGTACTTCCAGTGAATGTTGTTCTTGGATGTCTTCTCAATCAAACCAATGCCTTCCAGCACATTTGTGATATCATAAATACGTCGTTTCTGAAGCCGACCAGCAGTAAAAGCCTGAGTCGTCAAATTTTATACAAAATCAGTAATTATTTCGCTACCTGAACGCCAAGCGATTCTGCCGCTGTGTTGAGATCCAAATCTTTTGACGGTGCGGCTTGGATCAATTCAACAAATCGCTTTGTTAGCAGGCCCAATGAACTGTCATATCTGCTCGCTGGCGATTGTTTGGGCCCTAATACAATGCGTCAAGATCACTGTGTGAATTTGAGAAAAAACGTACCACGTGCACAGGAAGTAGGTGCCTGATGTTTAGAAGGTGCCATGGAGGATGCGAGGGATCCAGACACAGCACACGCAGCGTTGCCAGTGGTTGTGATGGGAGTTTTTGCCGCTTCCTCAAGCCGAGCCTTGAAGCGCTTGGACTTACGCTTAATCTCATCATTTGAGGCCTTTGCTTTGACCATCTCCGCAGACAAAAAAACGTTGCTGTTGTGTGGCAGCGTATTAACGCCAGGTCTGCTGTCTGACTCCTGATCGAAGTTCTGTTCAATAGAGATGGATAGGCAACCAAATCACGGAATATAGTAAATTGATAGCGATAAAGGAATGTAGGAAATATATTCCAAACGAGAGAGAAAACCAATATCACTCATAGTGCCACATCATCAAAGTCATGGGCTCTTCAAGCACCACCGCGACCGCACTGGAGCAGAAAGGCTCAGACGAGGAAATGGTTCTAAATGGTACGTAAGTACGGTCCTTCAAGAAACATTCCCTGCTGTTATATCGTAAATTATACTGCCGCAGACCTGCACATCGAGACGGGGGACCAAAATGCCGTGAAAAACTTGTTAGACGACACCATTGTCGAGTTTTTTAAAGAAAATAAGAAGTATCAGCTGCACTATGGCTGGGATAACGCCAAAATGATACTCATGGCGGTAGCAATTATCATTGCGGCCATCTCTCACTTTTACAAACCGTCTTTTATCTCTGAGAATGTCCTCATATATATCTGTGTTTCGGGGTGAGTTAAATTGGCGACGGCGCTGTCTGCTATCAGCAATATCGTAACTTATGCTGCATTGTGACAAATAGATTCTTTTTCATTCAAGCGTTGTTGGTCGCTTACGCCACGTTTATTGAAAAGGACATTCTTTTGCGCATGACCCGAGCGGTACGGCGCTTTAGTTTAAGCAATTACGTTGTGAATAAGGTCACTGTTCATACTCTGACGATGTTGTCGACTGTTTAGGGATCGAATCCTGGTAAAACCATTCTGGTGCGGACGACATTTCCATACTCCGAGGCGCACTACACCGTCAGTATTCATCAAGCTGACGCGAAGGAGAAACCACGAAAGGAAGAATTATACGTTGGTCGTTTCTTTGACAAGGAGGGTTATTTCAGCAAAGAAGCTTTCTTAAAAGACATTGAGACCGTCCTCTCGCGTTTTGAACAAAAAGACAAGAAGCAGTAAGAAAGTGGACAAGAAACGTTGGATCAACTGCAGCTCGAAGCGATTATATGTCAGCTTCAGGGTTCTTGTAGGCTACCATTGCGTCGACCTTGTGAAGCTGCCCATAACAAGTAACGCAACTTACCAATTTGAATACAATGATCCCGATACACCAATCCGTACCTTCGTTGTGAAAGAGCGCAAGCGCACCTCGGCAGAATCCTTAATAAAGCGGGGATCTGACTCTTCCCACAGAGCAGGCACGTCCGAATCTTTGTCCGTGTAAACGAGTAAGTCAAACGCGCACTGCTCTTCCAAAATTGGGAGAAACGAGACGCTTGCTGTGATCTGACGAATAATGGCCTGAATCTCAGCCATTATTTCTTTCTGAGGCTTGGATACAGGTTCGCTACTACAGCAATCAGCAGAACCCCACATGAAGATGTAGCAGCACCTTAGTAAATGCACTCAAGCAATGCACCTATACCTTTCATCTGTGCTGTCATCGGTATAAACTTCAAACGCCCATCGCTCCAGCACTTCCTGTGTATCAATACCTGTGATAACCAGCACTAGCTTTTTTGCTTCTCCCTTTAATAGCCAGTCTATGCACAATACCATCGCATCGAGATGATAATGCATTATCACGCTTAGTACACCATCTACAAACGTACTTGATAACTGATGGAGAAACTTGCTAAAAAAATCGTTAAGCTTATCATCGTCCGTGACCAGCATGTTCAGACCATATTTCTGAACTTGTTTGAAGCTCTCAGCGGGGTAGATGCCACGCTGATACAAAATGCTGGAGAATTCGACAAAATTAGCTGGCTCATGCCATCATCAATCTTCGACGTCAAAGCAAGTAAGCTTACGTGTTGATGCTGTACGAAAAAAATTCAGTGACAATCTCAGTCGATCCCTTAAGCGTAATGAGGTTCTCTGAGATCTGTGCGGTAGCCTAGGTCATATAATTGTAAGTACGACGTTACATCATCAAAGCGCGATGCTTTCGTACCATGATGCATAAAATAAATGGTGTTTTACACTTCACAACTCTATTCAGTAAAAAAATAGAGCCATCACTCCTCGGCAACATTTCATTCCGCATTGCACTACGATGTCAGGACCTCATACCCAGGTATTCTTGTGGATTTCCGGCTAAAGCAAGTATTTTAATCATGTGTACAATTTTTAACAAGGGACAAGTTGAGCTCAACGACGAGGAGCTAGTTTTTATGTCAATTCTTTACGACCGAGGCGAGCTAGGAGTCGCAATTTTTGACGCGCTATCAGCAAGTCTCAAAAACTTGCAGCCTCAGATAGCAGATATGGAGGAGCTTGAGGAAGTGGGGTAGCTGGATGCCAAATTTGTTGATGGAACTGAAATTAATGGAAGTGTGCTGACTGTTCGACAGATCATTGAGCGCTTGCATACACAATTTCGAGTAAATCATGTGCTTGTGTCATCGCGAAATGCAAGCACCAATGGAATGCTTCGAATCGTAAAAAAGCTTGATGACACGCACCAAACGAAAACAGGAATTAGCATACGCAAGGTAATTTATACCGCGGAATAAATTTTATACTATATGTTCAAATCAAATACGTTGCAATGGACTGATGAGATAAGATTTTGTAGCACTCAGGTAATAAACACTTCATTAAACCAAAGCAATTTTGTTGGTATTGGCGCAAGAACTTAAGGCGTACGCCGAGTAGACTTCAACTACCTCAAAGCTTGCCAAACAATTGAGCATGTCCAAATCGGTGCAGCTTCCGATGACTTTAATAAGCCTCATATTCGATCAATGCGGTAAACAGCTTGTTGTCATTCATGTTTATATAGAAGTACAGACTCAGCTAAAATTTTCGTGCTGAAAATGCAGAAGAGAAGCTTCCACTTTTCTCGGCAGCTTCTTTGACTTTGAGAGCACTCAACTTATCCGAGCAACAGGCGGTAAAATAGAATCTTTATGCAAGCTTGAGCGATAAGATCTGCTTCTCATCCTCGTGGTTGTAGCCTTATTGATATATTTGCTTACAGAAAAGGTATGCAGGATGATTCTGGAGAGAGGTAGATATGACTCGCTGCAAACATTTTGCAGATCGGGAATCAGCTTGATGATGTGGAATCTCTGTACCTTTCAACTGTGGAGCACATTGCACTTGACGGCTTCATGTTTATTGACAAGTCTACATTTCAATCTCTACAGATATTTAACCATGTAGACCATTCTAGGAATCGAGAACACTCTTTTACCTTGTACTAACACGTATATTGAGTCACGCAGGAGGCACACCCATCACTCATCAAGGTGCAATATGGTAATTTGTACTGCACATTGAAGCATTAAGGACATATTCACTGTTTAGGGAGCTGGTCGAGCTAAAGAAGGCTTCAGGTGATACATCCGTATCTAAATACCGTTTGTGCGCTTAGCTAAGAAAAGTTTAGTCTTTTTGGTCTTCTCAATCGGACCGTGACAAAATCGGGAGCCTTCATGTTGCACCGCTGGATGCTGACTCCACTTGTCACAAGGGGTCGAATTGAAGAGCGCCAAAGCTCTGTTGCGTTTTTCACGGATGTTGAGAATGACGAAATTCGGCAGCTTTTGGTTATTTGTGTGCCTTCTTCATTTACTGAAAGTATCATTAGCTCATATTTTATCCACATTAAGCTTGGAAAGTTGAAGCGTTTTCGAGACGTGGCTGGCATTTTCCAGCGCATTAAAAGACGCTGTGCTTCAGTTGGTGATTGGTGTCGATTTGCCACATCTATCGGAAGCTTTCTGGAAGCTCGGTGATGTTTGTCGATAATCCTTGACGTCTCTGATGTAACAGCTATTGATCGGTTTTAGATCACTGATCGGAAGTCTTCGAGGAGATACTGCTTCGTCATTACCTTCTGTGTTTTCTAAGGTATCGGGGGAGCAAGGTGCTAGCCACATCAACAACCTTCTCGTAAACGTGATAGATTTTGAAGAGAGCCAACAAGAGACTACAGTGGTCATCCGAAGTGGTGTATCTGAAGCTTTGGATGCAGCACGAGAGCGCTACGAAGATCTCGATAATGTACATTGCAGTGGCTGCCGATTGTGCTTTGCTTCTCAACTTTTTTGCAACTATTTTTGTTGGCAGGTGCTGACGGAAGTCGCTTTTCAAGTAAAAGAGGCTAATCCGATTCTGTCATCGATTACTGTCCAATATATTCCTCAAGTTGGGTATGTCATCTGCTGTGACTCGCCCACAACATTACCGGAGTTTGTTTTTCAATTTCAAGAGGACGATACAACGTTTTATTACAAGGTGAAATTTTTTGCTTTCTTTGTCTACTGAACGGGTATAACTTTTAGCATTGCGTAGGATGCCTGTTGTCGTGATCTTGATGAATCGATAGGAGACATTTTTGGTATATATTATATATATTGTTTTTGAGCAGATACTGCAATTGTCGTTACTAATTTGACCAATTTAGGGTTAATTCTTGACATGCAAAAAGGCAAATACTTTCTCGAGTGGTGCAATTTATAAAAATGCTGCTGACAGCATTCATACAATTACAGAGCTGCTTGAAGAATTAACGATGGCAATACTGGAGTATGAATGCAGTGTTCATGGTAAACTGTTCCGCCGTCTACACTTGTATTTCAAGGCTGATACCTAGTCGTAAATGGTAGAAATTACATGGATGATGTCATATCTTGATTGCTTGATTTCACTATCGTCCTGCGCGAAAAGTTTTAACTTCACTCGGTAAGAAAATTACAATTAATCCAGAACGAACTTTGAGGTGCACTGACAAATTATTGATTGAGTTAAGACCAAATATTTGTGAGGGTCACACATTGAAGGCAACCCAAGTTCGCCACCCACTCCAAGAGTTACTTGTCGAGCACTTTATCCCCAACGATATTTTTTTGGATTCAAATGACTCTCTAAAAATTGTAACAGGCCACAACGGATCTGGTCAGTCATGCTTCGTGATTTAAATTTGATACCACGATACTGAAGAGTTAATCTGTTACAGGAAAATCTGTGTACCTAAAAATGGTTGGCCTTTTGCAGTACATGGCACAAATTGGGTCGTTCGTTCCGGCAGAAAAAGGTGCACGCTAAAACTTTCTATGAGCGTCTTACTCACAAGTATCCGCAGCGGAGATTGGATTAGTCACAAAAATCTTTACAAGGATCCAAAGGTAAAAGTCATCGATATAAATGCTGAAAGCATGAAATCTGAACATGTCACTAGCGTGGAGTCTGCTACAGTATCTCATAGCTCCTTCACGATCGACTGCAATCAGGTGTTACAAATTAGCCATTTCACAAAGTCGGCTCTGAACCTAATAAATTATTTGTGATAGATGGCATGGATGCTGAATCACGGGGATGATCGCTCGCTATTCTTGATCGACGAATTCGGAAAAGGTTTGTAAAACGTTTGCGCACTAAAGCACAACACTAAATGGTGATGCTTGTAAAAGGAACGGCTGAACTCGATGGAATAGCTTTGTTGGTAGCCCTTAATTTTCAAAAACCCTGATTGCACGCGTAGTAGACCTTTAATTTACTTACCTGTTGTCCTAGAGCTCAACTATCAATTACCTTGCAAAAAAGCGGTTTGCAAACGGGAGACCGCGTGTTGTACTTACGACACATTTTCTGGTTAGCATGCGAGGCGTACAGCTGTTTACACAGAAAACTCAATTTACTTTTTTGTGAGCAGGAGATATTTCGATATAATCTTCTCGAGCCAAAGCTTATAGTCGATTCACAAGCTAAAGAAGAGCAATGCGAAGGCTTGCTTGACACAGCTCGTATAATTTGTACTGTCATGGCGTCGACAGATGCTTTAAATACGTCTCCTGCAACATCAAGTGCTGATCCGCTGTACGAGCTGCGTCACGGTATATCGAGTCACAGCAATGCCCTAGGCTGCGCATCAAAGTGCGGTAAGTCAGGAGTTTGCATCACCTGAAACGCATCGGATCTTATATTTGCTGATATCATAGGAATTCCACAGGAGGTGATAAAGCGAGCCCAAGAAGTAATGGATTACACCAAGCGCAAGGTGCCAATACCACCTCGACAAATGTTTGCAGGGCCATCACCAGAGGAGCAGCTCATCGCATTTTTTTCGTCGATTGATGACTGGCAAGCTGCAGGAGACGATGTCATTTCCAAATTTTTAACGATGGCACGCGTAGGCACCCAGTGAAAATGCATCCTGTTTTCGATAAGATACGCAAATATCGGCACTGCATTAAATAGCTCGTTAAGTCCACTCATTATGATGAAGAACATCTACAACTATATCTTATTCGCTGCACCCAGCCTCAATATCCACGCTAAGAATATCTTCGAGCAAAATGTCGCAGTCGACAGCATCTTCGGGAAGATTGTCGGGAGGAGGTAGATCAGATAGATTATCAGCTTCTGGATCTATGATCAGCTGTGACTTTGTAACAGGAAGCACCTCCGTTTTTTCTTTCGTTGGTGTATTTGGTGGAGTCCACAATTGAAATGCGGGTTCGTGGCTAACATTCCAATCGTCAAAGATGCGCGTCGGATCAAAGTCGTCAAAGAGCGTTGGCGTTTGGTCATGGATGATGTCGTGCAAAAACTCATCACGCAATTCCTTCATATACACTGATTTTGACTTGGGAGATGTAAGGCCACCGTATGCAAGCTCAATATCCTGCAGGGAAGTTATCAAACCATATTCCAAATTAGCACTTGTTGGAGTGTTCATGAAATAACTTACCGGAATTTCATCTGTATGTGATCGTTCAATAAGTTTTCTAGAGGTCAGTGCTTTTCTTTCCTCTAAAGCTTTCGGTGGCTGGGTCCCTGCGTTTCGTTTTGATTGCATCAAAGGCAACTTCTTGCCGGCGCGAAGCTTCTTTGTATCATTCACACCTTTCGGATTTGAAACCACATCATCGATGTGGTTGTCGTCATGACAATTCTGCTGATTGTTGGAAATGTCACCTAGCACACGCCTGCTACAGTGAATAAAGCGATCATGTCTTTACTCTGGGGTGGCTCCAACACCAATTCACTATACAGATAGTTCCAATCCCACCTGCTTTTTACTGATTTTTTGTCTTTTGAGCCGCTCTGTTTTGCAGTTTTTGCATCATTATGAATCACAAAGCCGCGCTTCGGTGCCAAACACTTTTTTGTATCTATGGCGAGAGGAGACGCAATCAGTGGGATGGCGCATTTAGAAGGTCTTTCGCACGATATTTGGACGCACCTTTTATCCGCACCCTGGCAGCGGCGTTGCTAACGACGGCGTTGGTGTCTACGTTCTCCTTCTGCGTTTGCATCGATTGATTACAATTTGAGTGTTTGAATGCTGAAACTATGATACCACATTATTGTATTTTCTTCCAATAAAAGTAAAAATTAGCAGGCTACATTTGTCCTAATACTGCAGTTTAAATTATGCTGGAATTAACAGTGTCGCAGATTTGGACAGTGATTGTCAAAGTCAAGCACACGATTGCCTTCGATATGACGCAATCGCATACTATTTGAGCTCATGGTAAGGGGATGTATTAAGGAGTCCAGATGATTTGAAGACCCACAAAACACCAGCTTTGTGACCACCAACGTTTAAGGACTCGCGCCGCATACAGAAATATCAGCTGTAACCCAATATGACCTCCATGTTAAGAAATTAATGCACTTATTCAATGATAAAGTGCGAGTTTAATTTCCTACTAAAACATCTTAATCTTTATGCAACTTGGCCTTCTTGGCCACTAAATGTTAGTATTTCTTAGAGTCGTTTCTTAATAAAATGACAAAGTTCTTTGTATCATATCAAATGAAGTTTGGCATTATGCTAAACCTGAGACTAACTTATGCTAAGGAATTGTGAAAAATAGGTCGAACACCTAGATAGCAGGTAGCTTATCATTGATGGCAGCAGTCCATTAACTTCAGGATTAAGTCGGTCACCGTCTAAGTCCTGTCTCCCTTGCTCGAAATCATGTGCCTAACAATTTTCTAGCGGCTCGGGTCGTGATGCCCTTTCATCATGCGGATGACGTGAAAGTTGAGCGTAGAGCGGTGTTCAGCAGCGCGACGCTTTCTCTTTTCCTCCAATGTGAGTATCATTTGGCGCGCCTCACGCTTGCATTGATTTTCATCGAAGTCATTGCGCTCGAGTGCATCCAGGAATGCAAGTGTCTCTGACTGGCCTTCAGTTCTTTCACGTATCGTACGCAGCGTCATGCGCTTGATGTGCTCAACATTAATACCACGGCGAAGCTTCATGATTGTAAATAGTTTGACCAAAAGCTTTAATACCAATATTGACGAATGATGTACTCAATTTTTACATAAGGTTACATTGAGTTTGTCAGGTTACTCACAAGCAATATGGACCCTGTGGAGCAGTCCAAGTCGCATAATGATATGAAGAAGTATCGACTGCTGACTTTGCCCAATGCATTAGAGGTGCTATTAATATCTACAGCTGACATGGCCCACGTGGCAGCAGCTGTAGCACTGGAGAAAGAAAGCATTGACGAGGACGACTCGAATTCTAGTGGGGAGGAAAGCGAATGTAGCGACGAGGACGAGGACGACGAGAGTTCCTCGTTCAACGACGATGAAGAACCAAGTAGTGGTGTTCCTAGCCGCCGGGCTGGTGCTTGTCTTACGGTTGGTGTTGGCAGCTTCGCTGAGCCCGAGGAGCTCCCTGGTTTAGCCCATTATTTAGAGCACATGTTGTTTATGGGTAGTGCCAAGTACCCAGATGAGAACGAATTTGAAGCTTTTTTAAGCGCTCACGGAGGGTACAGTAATGGTGCAACAGACAACGAAAGGACAAGCTATACGTTTGAAGTAGGACCAGCACACTTGGAATCAGCACTAGATATGTTTGCACACTTTTTCATCTCTCCACTACTCAAAGCTGAAGCCATGGACAGGGAGCTCTCAGCGATCGAGTCTGAATTTAGTCAAGCGACTCAAAATGACCGAATCCGGACACAACAAGTGTTATGCGACATGGCATTGGCCACCCATCCTTATCATCGGTTTAGTTGGGGGAACAAAAAGAGTCTACAAGAGATACCCAAAAACTTGGGCATAGATGTTCGCAGCCAGATTCTGGATTTTTACACCACTTTCTATTCGGCCAACATCATGAAATTGGTTGTTTGTGGTGAAAATTCACTGGACGAGCTTGAGAAATGGGTAACGAAATCGTTTAATGCCATTCCTAATAAAAATGTGAAAGGCCCATCTTTTGCTGCGTTTGGGTCACCAGTCGGAGCGCCAATAGCTAAAGCCTCATTTATCTGTAAGATTATACCAGTTCGTGATATTCACACACTCCATCTTGATTGGATGATCCCTCCAATTCTTGGTCAGCATCATCAAAAACCTGCAGACTACATTGCCAGTCTTCTGGGCCACGAAAGTCAAGGATCGATCTTATCACATGTAAGTTCATGCCTCTGTGTTTTTTGTCAGCTCAAGTAACCATTCATTTCTTGGCGAAATAGTTAAAGAAAAAAGGATGGATATCGGCAGTGACTGCTGGAGTCACTGACACAGATGGTTACGATTCTGGAACGTATGCAGCTAAGTTTGATATCACGATGAAGCTTACACAAGAAGGCATTTCTCAATGGGAAAATATCGCTGTTGCTGTTTTTGAGTATCTGCATATGCTTCAAGTAAACGGCTGTCCCGAGTGGGTCTTTGATGAATTAGCTGCTCTCGCCGATATTTCGTTCCGCTTTCGAGAAGAAAATAGTGCTGTTGAACGATGCGAGGAACTAAGTGAAATTATGCAGGTTTGACCCATATATGTTTTGATGCACTGGTTCACTATGATACTAAGCTCTTCTTTATAGTCGATGTTCAAGGTGGCACCAGAAGACATATTGCGTTACGACCTTTTTAAGGGTTCATTTAAGAAAGCGCTTGTGGAGGAAGTTCTTAGCCACTTGACTGCTGATTCTGTTTGCATCTCGATTGTTTCCCAAACATTTGATGATTGTGCAGAATTTCAAACTCAGGTATGATACAGGGTGCATTTTTCTTTTAATGAGATGAGATGAGATTGATTTATGATGTTTGCCTTTCTGTAAGAAGGTTGTTGAAGAGCAGTGGTTTGGTATCAGGTATACGCGAGAATGTATAAAGGATACCACTGTCCAACGCTGGAAGAGCGCAGGATTAAATTCCGAGCTGCATTTACCTCGTCGAAATCAATTTATTCCAAAAAATTTTGCAATAGTGGATGTAGAGGGTGTTCAAGACCTCGTTTGTAAGGGTACCAAGTTTGGCAAGCTGTGGTTTAAACCGGATCGCGTGTTTGCTACCCCTCGTGCTCATATTGCGCTGTTGCTACACTTGCCGAGTGTTGTGGCTAACGTGGAGAATTGGAGCCATACGCAGCTATACGTGAAAATTGTTCAAGATGCGCTCAATGAATATGCGTACCACGCGAATGTGGCCGACCTTATGTACTCACTTCAAGTAAAAGATACTGGCTTAGAATTAATTTTCGGCGGCTTTAATGATAAACTCCACCTTCTTGTAGAAGTCGTCGTTGCAGCTTTATTTGGAACCGAGATCGATGAAGCGCGCTTTGAAGTTTTGCAAGAAGAGTTGATGCGTGAGTCGAAGAACGCTATCACCAAGGTGGCACAAAAAGCGAAATATCTTCGCTTGCAACTGCTGGAAAAGAATTCGTTTCCTATCGAGTCATGCTTGGATTCGATCAAATTGGCGACAGTTGAATCGTTGAAAAACTATGTTGATAACCAACTTTGGTCTGGCAATGCGCGGCTAGACTCTTTTGCACACGGGAATATATCGCATGTTGAAGCGATTAAATTGGTCATGAATGTCGAAGAGCAATTGTACTGTAAGTGTTCACCGCTACAGATGCACGAAATACCCCAACGATACATCACGACTATTCCGCCGACTCCTGTGGGTTTCCTCCTGAAGGAACGAAGTGAGAACAAGACGGAAACTAATACTCAAGTAGAATTTTATTTTCAAATTGGTCCGTTGACGTTGCGTAGCTTGGCATTCGCCGATTTGCTGCATCAGTTGATGGAGGAACCACTTTTTGACGCTCTTCGCACAAAGCAAGAGCTAGGGTACGACGTTTCATGCACTGTTCGTGTGACTAATGGCATCTTGGGTTTTGGAGTGATGGTTCAATCCTCTATGTTTGCAGCTGAGTATATATCCAGCTGTGTGAATCGCTTCATGATTGACTTTGAAGAGGCGATCGAGATGATGATAGATAAACACTTTGACGACCACGTACAAGCGCAGATTCTTTTAAAGCTCGAACCAGATCACAACCTACTGGAAACGACACAGAGGTATTGGTATGAGATCACAACGCGTCGTTTTGCATTCGATATTGATGCTCAGCTTGCAAAAGAGATGGAGACGTTAACGAAGAGCGAAATAGCACAGCATTACCGTAAGTGGATTCTTGAAAATCCCAAGAAATTGATAATTCAGGTTATTGGTCGAAGCAATTCAGCCGAAAGTGTAGCGCATCAGCGACGCAAGAATGCTTCGAAAACCGAGTGTGTCGAATATCCTCAACCGATTCGAATTCACGATTTGTACCTTTTTAAGTCAGAACTGCCGTTCTATTCCGATCCCATTGACAAGATTAATAATTCAGCTACAAGTGAAGAGAAACATTTATGACTCTAGAGCGTCCGATCCGTATGGACGAATAGAACTATCTCCAGTACATGTATTTGCGTTAAACAACTTGCATCGTTGGCGCATTTAACTAAGACGCCAAACAGCGTCGTACTAGACATAATATATTCTATAAACTGTCTTGGCAATAGGCAGCTGGCCGTCGTAAAAAGCTGTCTCAATCGTAAGTTTGCCACTATTATCAAATAGAAATGAGTGAGATAACGAACACTCAATATAAAGCTACAGCTGAGTAATCCGTACTTCATGGCCTCCGGATCTAGCATGTTCTCAGGTTCATCTGATTCAATCGTTTGTTGCCATGTATTCGTTGAGCCAGGGATTACATAGCCAAAGCTAAAAATCCATTCTGATCAGCAGCGAGAAAGATGTGTCATACTTTCCGACGTGAAGTTGTGCTACACATTTATAATCGCACCTTCAATGCAGCTTCCAGCAAGAAAAACACGCTGCTCGAGTCGAAATTTAGAAATCTCTTCTGCTGAACTAAAATTGATTTCACGAGAGATAGCAGAACACTTTAAAATGTCTTTTGGAAGATGCGCTATATCATGAAGCATGCACGTTATTTACAATGTAATCTACAAAATATTCTCATTTGACACCTTTTTGCTCAACATGGTAGACATCAGTGCCCCTATCATCAATTATCATATTAGATCGTAGTACTCAAAGCTTAATTCAAATTGACGTGCCATTCATCCGATTGCCACATCAGTCGACCAGTTTCAGCACACCGCATATTCATGTGATTTCTGCCAAAAAAGAAACAATTGAAGATGACCGTCATTTCGATCTCGATTTCTCATCGCGAACTTACATGATAAGACCTTCACAAACGGTCTTTGCCCACGAATTGTTGGCAATTTCAATCTTTCCAATTCCAGCATCGTGAAGCTGTTTCCATTCCCGTTCGACGTCAAGATCTAATTTAGCTTGGGCTGCACGAGACTCACTGTCTTTGCTAGACTTCACTTCTTCGCCTTTTAAGTGTGTCTTTCCACTCAGCTTAACATTGCTGATTTTGCACTCTTGTTCCTCACCGATCTCCACGCGCTTCGGCTCCATTTGTAAAAGACCTTGAAGTAGTTGAACGAGATAACTAGCGGTTATTCACGAGACAGAGTCCGACCCTTTAGCATTAATAATTTTGCTGAAACGGCAAACGTGCATCACAAGCCGACACATATTAAGGTGTGTTATCATATTTTCGACCAACTCCAAATACCTTGCATACTATATATTATGTTAAAAAATAGAAGAAGAGAAGTTTCTTTAGCTAACACGGACAACATAGCATAGGCATATGTAGCCCAATATCGTAACAAAAAGATTGGATTCTAACTCTAAATGTTTATCTCGCGAATATCGTGTCAGACTTCTTCTGGGGAACGAAGAACGAAGTTGCCGTGCACAATGTACAGAGAAAGCCTTGACTCGAGAAGCCCGTGCTGTGCGTGCACCCCTTCCTGGATCGGAATCGAGATTTGTTACCATAACTAGATCAGCTGAAAGTTTGTCTATATTATTATTTATAGACGTAATGACTTCTCAATTTTTAC